TTGCTTCTCCCACCCCCAGTAACTGTAACTATACAAGAAAAAAGGGCAAACTTTTAAAAAGGCCACAGATTCTCAAGAAGGAAGAAGAAAGAGAAAGCTCAGCTCAGTTCCAATTCAATGTCAGTTTTTATCATGCTAATTTTATTTTCAGAGAGCCAGTTTGATGTAGTGGTTAAAGCACCAGGCTAGAAACCAGGCAACTGTGAATTCTAGTCCTGCCTTAGGCCTGAAGTCAGCTGGGTGACTCTGGGCCAGTCCCTCTCTCTCCGCCCTAGGAAACAGGCAATAGCAAGCCGCTTCCTAAAACGTTGCCAAGAAAACTGCAGGGACTAATCCCGGCAGTTGGCAGGAGTAAAAAACTGACTTGAAGGCACAATAAATTAAATTTTTTACTTTCTCAGTCTGCCATTGAGGTAAACAGCTTCAATGCCAACTGCTACAGAACTTTAATGTATAAGCAACTTAGGTAAACAGAAAATATTTTTCAAGTCACTTCATTTCTACAAAAAAAAATCATCACTCTTGTTCTACTGGCTAATGAAAGCTTAATCTTTAGATAGTAAAGTTAGATTCAAATTTATTTTGTGCTGTTTGAGAAGCTTTTGACATGTTTGCCATTTTAACTACACAAAATCCATTTAAAAAATTGAGATGTCAACTGTATCATTTGCGGTGCATAAGGAAAGTAATCCACATGTCTGCTTAACTATATAACTTATTGTTCAGCCATATGTGTTTTTGAAAATATGTATTGTCTCAAGGGTGATTGTAGGAAAATGGAAGTGAATGATTAATTATGTTTTCTTATGCCAGTACAGCTGTTAGTTTGATCACATGCCATATACTGAAAACAATTGTAATCTATCAGATGGGGAGAGTGAGACAAGATATCATAGCTGTGAGCCAGATGTCCAAAGATTGGAATCTTCTATGGCCAGTTGGACCAGCAACATTTTGAGGGCTGAGGAAAGGTTATGTATCAGTGTCATCTGGAAAAGGAATGCTGCCTTTTTATTAACTGTCTGAAATGGAAAAAGATAGATGCCATAAGATTCTTAATGGATCTAAATCAATAACTTACTTTATAAAACGTTTGAACTCAGTGTTGATATGATGACACATGAACTAATGGTAATGCAAGCATGGTGAAGAATTCCAAAAATGGATTTTTTTTTTCAAATGGCAAATGGGAAACAAGATGGTGAATAATATTCAATATTAATAAAAACTTGCGCATTTGGGAAACAAAACTGACTTTCCCATCTCCAGTAGCAGGCGTCTCACTGAAAGTAGGAACGTATTTCTGCACCAGTTCGAAAGCAGCTCTAGGCCTCCCTGACCCCACAAGGCTGTCAGTGTTCAAGGGCTGAGCCAATGCATTAGACATCTGCAGCAAAGCTTTTGGGTTTTCTTCTGCAATGTTTGAAGCGTTGAGCTTGTGGACAGTCTGGTTTCCTAACTGATAGGAACTCTTCGTTAATGGTGCACTGCCATGAG